GTGGACTAAGATAATTTTTAGGATATACAGGAAAGGATATGAGAAATGCATTGATTGTAGAGTTGTGGGCCTGTTTGCAGTGCCATGTGGAGTAACAACTGCTTTCTGAATGTGCATTTAATATTTCAGGAGTCAAAAAAGTTAGTACTGATCTGCTGAGAGAGGGAGCACCTATAGAACCAGACCCTCCAGTCTCGCACTGGAAACCAGAAGCTGTGGTAACTTTTCACTTTTTCTTTTCTGTACTTGTTCTGTTTTGTTGGTTTTTTTTTAATAGACTTTATATTGACAGTAGAGATGAGGTACAGAATCTGAGCTGATGCTTTTCATCACAGACCTTAGATAACCACATACTTTTCTCCTCCCCAGTAAGTGCAGAGAACGGTTAAAATAAATAACTTAAAATCCTTAATTCTGACCTCTGTGCTATTAGCAGTATTATGAAGATGGAGCTCGAATTGAGGCAGCTTTTCGAAACTTCATCCATAGAGCTGACGTAAAGCAGGAAGAGGACAGCTACGAGATCTTTGTCTGCCACGCCAACGTGATCCGCTATATCGTGTGCAGGTACGTGCTGCATTGTATGTTCCTCTGCTCTTTAAAAGCTCATGGTTCTACTGAATTAGTGATGCTTTATGGCTCTGCAGAGCTAGGGGATATATTTTTTGATTTGGCTTGTTTGAAGAGGTTGGCGATCGGTGCCTGCATTGTGAGCAGCTGCTTCTGCAACTTCATCACAGGATTCATTTGCAGATACAGGACACGGTTGAAAATTAAAACACTTTCATTCTAATTCTGAAGTGAAATGACTGAATTGGTGAGACTCAAACCCTTTCTGTACGCCCCAATAGTCTTTTTAATACCATATGGCTCTGCTTCCCATAAAACTAAGGACAGTGCCTGCGTGGACTGTTGGAAAAGACAGCAAGTAGAGCATGACTGTGTGCCTCTTCTTGAGGTGATGAGATTTGATCTTATGTAACGAAAGATTCGTTTAGTTTTGAGAATTATTTAATAACGGAAATTTTTGTATTATGTTAAAATTGCATTAGTGTGGTTTTGCAGTAACATCCAGTCTTGGATTAGAGCGATAGTGAGTCTTCCCACTAACATCAAGGTTGTTCATGAAGGAGAAGACAGTTCTGGAGCTTTGCCTGTCTCTGTATTCAGTCAGCTGAGTCTGTTCTATTCTTCCCTAGCAGCAAGGCACTGTCTGTAAGATAATTTTTCTTGAGGACAGGTGTGATTAAACTTTAATCTGATCAATACCTACAGCAATTTCAGTTAGCTCTATTTAGCTGAGTTGGTTAAATGCTAGCCTGTCTGCTCTGTGGACTGCTTTAGAGCTTTTCAAAATTGCTGTACTTAAAATTATTGATCAAGTAAACAGAATATTCTTTCCTGTGCAAAAAAAAGATTGTCTTGCTGCTACCTAGGCGCTTTCAGAAGTACTTTTTCTCTTTGTTGTTTCTTCTCTCTTCTTTTTAACTTCTATTTTGTGCCTGTTATTTCAGGCTATCTGATAGCACAATAGACTGTAGCTGTTACTTAATTTTTCTTAGTTTTTCTACTAGACTGTCACAAGAGCCAAAACCAAATTATTTCTCAGTGTCTGAGGCAAACCATGTTTGAGACGTGTTTTTTTTCCAGCTACTTACTACAATTGGTTGAAGTCCTGAGGCTGTTCAGTTAGGAACTGTGTAGAATAGCTGGAGGCTAGCTGTGGTACTGTACTTGTACAAAAAGCACAAGGTAACTTTTCTTGCCGCTTCTGGGGAGCAGTATAGATGATGGAAAGTAGTTCTGGTGAATTTCTTCCATGTGCACATGTGGGCAGTTTGAATTCTTACCTCACTACCTCTTCTTGGCTGTTATGTACTATCTGTGTTGATAAGGCTAAAATAGTGTGTGAGAGTATGCTGTTTGCCTTTGGTCTGTGGAGGAGGCATTCCCCTGCTCCACCCTGAACTGCACAGGGTTCTGTGATCCTCTGCTGGCCAAGTGACCAGCTTGAACCAATCCCATCTATCTGCTTGTTACGAGGTGGCTCAGAGCGCTCCCAGCAACCTGACTGCATTATTGCTGCTGCCTTCTGTCCATTTGAATTAATCCTGTCTACAGTAATCACACCCATCTGCTGGACTCTGCTTGTGTGAGTGCGTTGCTGGCACTGGCCCAGTTCTCAGTGCTGCATTCTCCCAGCAATCACATAAGAAAAATACCTTGTCCAAGGCTGGCTGTGGATGCTGTGAGGGCCCGTTAATATCACTGTTTATGAATGAATAATATGTTGTTTTTTATTCATTTTGTAACAGAGCATTGCAGTTCCCCCCAGAAGGCTGGCTGCGAATGTCTCTTAACAATGGCAGCATAACTCACTTGGTGATACGTCCGAATGGAAGAGTGGCACTTCGAACACTGGGTGACACAGGTTTCATGCCTCCAGATAAAATCACTCGCACCTGAATGTGCAAAACCAGTGGCTCTCCAGGAGCAGCCTCCAGCCTCTTTGCACTAGTACGTTCAGCTGCCGTACCACTAGGTTTTGATCTGTTATGTTGGGGTGTGATGCTGTCTTAAAATGTCTTTTAGCCCTTTGCCTCCTTTATACATATTCGTATCTGCCTTCCAGTCCAGAAAAGAAGGTATATCTGTAAGCCTGGAGCTCTCCAGCCCTCAAGTATTCCCCAGTCCTCAAAGCTGAGCTGTGGAATACAGAGATTGAATGTCTGCTCAGTAGTTCCAGGAGCACTGACTTCCCCCCACCCCATCATGACTTTCTATAACCAAAGCAGCTTTCTCCTGTGGGTATTTTTATTTGTGCAGGGAAGCAGTGGGTGTGGGAACTGGAAGATCAGCCTTGTATTACTGCAACTGAGGGTGAGCCAGCTTGTTTCAGCTCCTGCGGGAGAGGTGACAAACAAACAGGGTATTCTGCTGTTCAAAGGGATAAGGCATCAGGTTTTATAAGTGTTTGAGGATGTATGTTTGTTGTGTCATTGTTCCCCCCTGCCCCCAGCAAACTCACGTAAAACTGTGCCTGGAGGTTGCAAGCATAAAGCAAAGAGGACAAAAACCTGTTATTTGCCTCATACCTGTGGTGCTAGAATTAACTGCTGCTTAAATTAAGTTCCTGCATCCTCAGGAAGTTCTTTAGCTATTCTGAACAATGTCTTTCAATTTCATAAAGCCTTTAACTAAAACTTGGTCTGTACAAGGATGTAGGGATGAGTCTATAGCAGTGAGATGGAAGGAAAGGAAAGCAGCAACTTTCTGAAAGTGCTTCTGGTACTGACACGTTTTCTAGTGCTTTCCCCCATTGATTGGCATTTTTTTATTCCTTGCTTTCAGAACAGAGACATCCCACCACTGAGGTCATGTGGTAATAGCTCAGGGCAGAGCTTCAGCAGTACTGGAGCAAGCTGCTGGTGCCAGAATAGTGACTAGCTCTGGGCTGGCTTGTCCGGCCACGTATGTTGTGCAGACAGAATGCTCCAGGTGGCTCCTTTGTTCTGACTCTGCTGGGCTTGTTCTGGGGAATGCGCAGGTGGCTGAGAACTGGGTTTTGGGTTTGGGGGGGGGGGCTCAGAAGGGTTTCAACTTGAGAATGTTTGATGGGCACCTGAAGCAGTGCAGTAACTTGTCTCACTTCTCAATACCCAGAATGTCAAATTTCACCATATGCATAGTCTGCCTTAGTGCCGGCGCACACGCTACAGGACAGCAAACCCAAGTAACTTGTTTGACAGGTTCTCTTGTCACCAAGAATGTCAAGACCCTACACTTGCTCCTGTCAGAGCCGTATGACGCATCATCCCAGCAAGACCTAGCAAGATGTGGTTTAATGGCTTGTTTGATCCAGTAGTACGAGTTCAAAGAAACGGGGGCTAGTAGGGAACAAAGCATGATAGTTGTGTAATGCACATTGTGGGGGCAAGAGGAAACCATCATGACGTCTCTCTCATTGATGCAATGAGAATAATTTATCAGTTTTTGTCTATTAACTTTTTAAAAGTTTTGAATAAAATAACTGGTCTGTCTTTCTTGTCTCTTCAGTTGAAGCTGTGTGACTGTAAATTGGGTAGAACACATGGCTGGAATGCTTCACAGGGACTTGTGTTCCTGCCAGGGGAGCAGCCTCTGCATCCCACATTGCCTGGGGGAAACAACATTAATTACCAGCTTTGTCCTTTTAACTCCAAATAGCTGAAATGTAGCTTAGCTCTGTCTCATTACCTCTCTGTTAGAGGTAATGATCATCACCCCCGGAAGCACATGTGCAACCACTACCATTCAGAGGGGGCTGCATAGCTGGCATAGCCCTTTGGATGTTGGCACCTTGGGAGTGACAGGGCTGTGTCCCTTGCCACTGGGTGAACAGGAGCAGTGACACGAGCAAGTAAGTGGAATATGCTGTGCAGTTTTATTTGTGTGTGTACACAGCCCTTCCCACACCTGCCCTTCTACACCCCAGTAACAGGTTCCTGCGGACAGCCAGAGGCCACCCACCACCTCACTGCACAGGTATGGAAGTCAGTATCTTCAGCTGCACTTAAAGGCAGGGGGAGAGGGAAGTATGAAATGTAAAATTAAGAACATAATTTTCACACTATTCCGACTTCCTGTCTCTTAAAACAGTTTAAGACCACTTGAGTTTTCAGTGACATGATCCTGTGCTGCTGTGCACACACCCTAACAACGCATGTAGTTGTGCAAGTAATGACTGCCTCTGTATCAGCCCAGCTGCTTGCACTGCGTCCCACACTAAACACAGCATAATGGGTGTTAGCTACTTGTCTATTTCCTAACAGAAAGTGGGGTAACTTTTTAATATGACGCTTGGCTCATTAAAAACCAAAACCCACAACTAAGCTTTTACACCTTTTCCAGTGAACTTTTGGCCAAGAAAACACAACTTGAGCACTACTAATCTGATTTAAAGTGTCCCCCCAGGCTCAGCGTGGAAGAGCACAATCATGAAAAAGCAAATTGCTACATAGATGGCTATTTATTTATTTTAATAGCTGAAAGAGATGTTAGAAAAATGACCTCAGAAGATGCAGTACAACTGGACTAATGCACATTAGTAAGACAGGTAAAAAAAATACTCTCTTGACCAAACGAGAACAGAATTACAAAGTGAAAGGTGGGAGGGGGTGGTGTCTGCCTACATGTACATACCAGTAATATACATTTAAATAGTACAAAAATCAAAACATAATACAGGTAAAAGGGGAGAAGTACAAGTGTTCATATCCCTCTCTGCAACCAGCTTGTCAAAAGGGCAACGGCTGGAGAAGGGGCAAGGTGGATGACAGCAGCTGTGGCCCCTCACTCCAGGAATTTGGCTTTAGCAGGGCATCAGGCAATCGCCTCATTTCTCCAGAATAACAAAAACATTTCCATTAAATTATTAAAAACAAAATTCCCCAAAGCAGTAGGAATTTGTGACCTACAGAAGTTATCTGTGACCTGTAGAAGTATGTGACTGCAGAGCCTACTGCGGTGAGAAACCAGACTGAAAAGAACCCTGGGGAAGGAGTCAGTTAATGTCCCTGGTAGTGCAGCAGCATATGGCTGTGGGGTTTTAAAACGTCTCTTAAAGAACGACATCCCACACACCCCTCCCACCCTAGTTCCATGTTGGGCATCTCGCTGACCAACAGGCAGCTGTGTCAAGTAGCTCTTTCTAATGCCCAGCTCATTGGAAATAGGCTTGACCCATTATAAAGAGCTTTTAAAAAATCTTTTAAAGAATAATTTCTAAGAGGAATGCTCTCCCCCATTGGAGAGCTGTCGCACCAAATAATCCAACTGAGACATTAAAACATGTTCTGTTCACAAAGCCCAGAAGAAAATCTTATTTTATGTGCCCATAGCAAGTGGATGCCACTTTTTTTTTTTATTTAACTTCTAAAAGAACAAAAGTATAATTAAAAAAATATGTTACAAAAGGCACTATTAAGCTTGCAGGAGTGTTAAGTGCAGTTCTTTAGGTCTGTACCAAATCAGGACCCTCCTGCTGGGTGTGCCCTTGTGTCCATGCGGCAGCGTTTGCACCAGCATCGCACTGCCTGAGCTCCAGACTCACATCCTCATGTCCAGCCTCAGCCTTGGGGTGGTTGGGGCTCAGCCCCTCTGTGCTGCCCCATTCTGTCTCTTCAAGGCTACCCTTGGCTTACAGCCACCCAAGGCCTCCCATCACTTACCGTGTAGCACCAGTGACTCCAAGCCCTTCCCTTTTTACCAGCACTGCCTTTGCAGACTTCAATTTTCTGATCAGATTTAAACTGTAATGATAGGGTTTCTTTTTTTCTTTACCTTGAGCTGTCAACACCTAGAGCTTTCTGTTTCAAGCAACCGTACAACCATTAAGCCTGATGATAATGGATATTGTCTTCAGTTTCAAAAAGCATTTGTCAGTCTTGGCACCGCACTGTCGCAAGAAGTCTGACAGAAGGCTAAAGAATGGAATTATTGACTGCTGTAACAAAAACTGATCACAGCAAGCCCAGAGACATCCTAAAAGCTTAGATTTCAATAAAAATATTTTTAGTCCTTATTCCTATTTCTCTTTACAGCTGGGAAGTAAGTTATGGGCCACTGGCCATCACCCCAAGAGAGGACAAACTAGACCATTACGGTGTCTTGCTGGTAAATTTGCTGTAATTATTGCTGATGTGCTTTTGTGTAACAGCTATCAAAATCTGCTAATGTTAGAAGCTTCTGTGGGAAAAAAAACAGCTAATCTTTATTTATTTTTCTATTCTCCAAGCTAAGATGTAAAGGCATACCAGTGATCCCTAGTGCCCTGCTGACAAAGCACTCGGCGTATCATGGTGGTTTTAACAGCTTCAGAACAAGCAAAGACTTTTCTGCATAAAGTTGTGCATAGCTACACCATCTATACAAGTGTGTGTGTGTGTGTGTGTGTGTGTGTGTGTCCAACTGTCTAGACCAAACCCCTGGCTGTGAACACTCACTGCCTGCTCTTGCACAGGGTTTCACGTCCCTGCTCAGCACTGGAACGTTGTCATTTCTTTACTCAGGCTTTGCTTTAGGCTCTTCTCTTTGAGCATCCCCCTGCAAGTGGAAGAACGTTTTACTTCTTGCCCTCACTCTGCTCTCCTGCGATGTGTGTTCACTGGGGCTGTGCCTCTACCAGTTCAGCCCTGCAGCAGCTCTGCAGCTGAGGACTGATGGGTTCATTTCTAGGTGAAGGTTTGGGCACTGCTTCACTGGCAACAAGGGTTAATTCACAGCTACTGGACAACTGCACTGTCACTACTCGCGCATCACCAGTAATCTATCTCCTATATGGCATAAAGACATAGATTCTTCTTTTTTTTTTTAACATACAGTTGTCCTCAATTGAGGAAAAATAAATAGCCAAGTACAAACCTCATGTCACTTTAGTAACATTGTAGTATTTCCTCCACTCTAACAAAGAAAATACAACTGAAGTCCCAGAAGATGAGTCGTGTTTTAGTGGGCAGGAGGCTCTGAAAAGTAACGCAGCTTCAGCAGAGCATGGTTGACACAAGCCGGACTGTAGCGCCCGGGACTCCTGGGATCTGGAGAGAATGAGGCCGCGTTGCTGTATTTTCCTGGACTTCCTGTCACAGGACTATTTCTTCCTGAATTGGGATACACAAAAGCACCTGGAAGGCCAGCAGTGACAGTTTGGGACTTGAACCTTGCCTTCAGTGCTGGACTCGGCCAACTGAAAGAAACAAGAAGTCATTTTGTTGAGAAAACTGCATTAAGGAGAGCAGCATGTTTCTTTACTCAGCATCACTTGTAGAGCCTAGAAATAAGGCACCAGCAGAAACAAATCGTAACTGGTCAGACAGGTCGGAGAAGAAACAGCGCCAGCACTATAATTACGTGTGGACATGTTGTCTCATCAGTAAGAGGTCATCTGCACCAAAAGATGGTGCCCGTGGAGCACGTGGGCAGCTCTAGCCCAATGCCCCCTTAAGAAGAGGGCACCCAGGTCAAAGCCAACCTGACCTCAGTAGGTGCTGCAGAGGCTGTTGGGGTTGAGTGTGATTTCCCCATCACCTCTCCAAAAACAATCTGTGTTTCGGTGCCACAGCAGTCACACCACTTTTATATATAGCAAGGGTCAGATATTTTCTTAACTCAGCACTAGCATCTACAATTGCACTGAAAGCAAAGTATTTCCTTTGTTAAACTGAAACCCCTTCTCTTTAAAAACCATTCCTTTTCCTCTAAATCTTTTCTTCAGCTAGGCAGAATGACCAAAAGGTTGGCTGTTCCTAGCAGCTGTGCTTCCTATGCGAGACTATTTCTTCAGCTGAGCTGCTACAGAAACATGGGATAAGCTATTTTAAAGGGGGTTTTTAAATTAAATAAACCTCAACCCACCCACCCCCAGTGCTGGAAGAAGAGCGAGGCCTGCCCAGGGCGTACTTCACACCTTTTGAAAGCAGTTTTCTTCTGACACACCTACTGCTTTGGTCTGATTTTTGCAGGCAAAATCCTACACACCTAAACAGAAAGTGAGCCAGCGTGCCACTGCGCTGCTTTTTTGCAGTGGCGGAGCAATCCATGACACTGTCAAATAATTACAGTAATCATTTTCACTTACGCAGTAGAACAGTGATTACATCTAAAAACCTCATGTTCAATTTTAGCTCTTTAGAAGAACACCCTGGACCTTTCAGCCAATAGAATGGGAATGAAAAAAAGCCTGACAATTAGCCTATTTCTTTTCCAAAAAAGACTCACAAAAATTGGGAGATGAGAGAATTTGCCTTTGAGAAGTGGTCCCAGGACACCGCATCAACCAATGTCTGTCACAGTAGAAATAAACGTTACTGCAATTACCAAAAGAAGTTACCTATACAAAAATTGTCCCTTTGGGTGAGTCCCCAAAAGCAACAGCATTCAAAATAAAACATATGAGCTGCAGAAAGTCTTCAGGTGTCCCAACAAATGCTTCTCTTTGTGTAGCAAAACATGACAAGCTTTACAAAAGCTTAACACGCACCATTGTTCACACTAACAATTCCTTTGGACTGGGGTAGCAGAGGGTAAGTAGAGGTAAAAACAAAAGCTAATAGAAAGATGCCTGCAGATATTAACATTGCTCTGCACACCCTGAGTGCCTCAGGGCAACACAATCCTCTTGCCCTGCATCCACAACGGGTGAATTACCAACTGACATTACAACTACCATTGAGACCAATGAAGGACCCAAGTATTAAGTAATAAATCAGCAAACACAATTGATTTGTCTGTATAGGTGTGATGAAGCTATCTGGAAGCGCAGGGTAGTGGAAGGAATTTGACTGCAGCACCAAATAAACATCTCTTATTAACAGACACCAGCCAAAAAGGCTTGGAGATTACTTTCAGAAACACACTAACAGTAAGTATAGTCGAGTATTTTAAACCACATTTTTGTGAGCAACAAGCTAACAAAATATATACATATAAAATAGCTTTGAAATTCCAGCTGTTCCGCTAAAAACCTTAAAGTCATCAGAAATACCTTTGCCTGTCAGATGAAGAGTACGACTGCACCGCATGTTTCCATTTGTAGACTGTTGGGTATTTCTGTGGATCAACCTCTACTCCTTCTATCGCTGCTAAGACATCACTATCCAGCTTCGAGGGCTGCTCCCTGGAATATAAACAGAACTGGGTGAAAAGGGAACCGTGTATTTGTTCTGGCAATGAAACATCCCAATCCCAAAACATTTCTTTTTGATATAAGCAGACAAATCACGCATGCTCTCTTATAAGCAGATGCTCTGTGAATTTTCCAACAGCCCCCCCCCAATTGAGTGTCCATTATTACACAGTAGTCCCATAAAATAAAACTTGAAAATTTAATCTGAGGACATCCCAAGAGATGAGTAAATGCTCTGGTAATCCCAGTCAGGCTCATCCTCAAGTCACAAGTTTGCCAGATGAATGGTAAAGAGCAAAGTTAACCGAAACTGACTTGGAAGCAAAGACTTCTCTTCCCTCCTGTTTTAGATACAGTATTCCAGTTGCAAGGGAACCTCATGGCTCTGTACTGGCATTGAAACACTTCAAGATCATTCAAGGCTGACTGCAGCTACTGTTGCTAAGTATCACATCACCTCAGCCTGGCTGTCAGTGGTATTACAAAAAGCATCTTGTTTTGCATACATAGAAACCCTAAACACATAATAACCAAAGGGCAAGTAAGTGTTATAAAAGACAATTCTTACCCAAACAGGAATATCTTAGAATTGTCATTTGCGGGTGAAGTCTTTGAGAGAAATTTCTGGGAAGAAAGTTCTTGACGTTGTGCCTCGTTAGCCTGAATTCCAGATTCCCTGGACTGTCTGTCCTTTTCTAGTGGTATTCTGTGTTCTGTCCTTAACTTGGTCTCTCCAGGTTTGCCTGCAACACTTGGCTCAGAAGAACTTGCCAGTGAAACCGCATGGCAGGCCTTATCCAGATAGTCGTTGGATATTCTCATCTGACTTGTTCCTTCAGCCAGAATTCTCTCATTCTGAGTTTTTGCAGTGATTTTATTTGATTCTCTGGGAACCCTTTGTTCTTGGAATGACAGGCTTTCAAATTCTGACATCAAATTGCAAACAGGCGCTACGAGGCATTCTTCTCCGTCATGCAAATGCTTTCTGTCACTGATGATCCTTTCACTGGACACAGGATTACAAAATCCATTTTTGCTGGAAGAAGCTGCGTTTTCGTAGTGCCTGGGGTGAACTGATGTTTCTATGATGTTTACTGTACGCCCCATGGACAAGATGTCACACTCGGCATCTCCGATGGCATCAATGCTGGGTTCTTTGGACATGAGAGGCTGGCTGATATTCCGTGCTGCATTTTGCCTGTTTTTAATTTCTTCTAAGCTCATGTCATCATCATCATCATCATCCAGAAATGCTCCAACAGAAACAGAATTGCAGCACTTTTTACTCCTGCCTGCATACAATTGTAATAAGAGCAACACATAAAAAGGCTTTAAACAGACCGCAATCTTTATGCCTTATTCTAATGATTGAAGCCCTTTCTACTTGTATTTATGCAGCAGCATGAACTGTGCTACAAATGTAAAATGACAACATTATGGCTGAATCTTTTTTGCAAATAACCTTTTATCTCCCAGTCACTTGAGAGCTGTATTTCCTACACTCCCTACTTCAGTATTAACCAGTAACAAAGGATAAAGTCAGGATAAAGCAGAATAGGGTAGGAAAATATTAAGTTTTCATCTCTTCCAAAGCACAAAGGCTTATGACTAGTCCATCAACTGTCCTTCAGGGTGTCAGGCCAGGTGTATCCCAATACCAGAGCACCTTTGAATCTGTAATCCCCCAGGAGAGGAGAAGGCAGCACAAAGATTTCGGACCAGTGTTCTCTTCTCATGAACACATGGCAAACAGTGATCTAAGAACATATAAAAGCTTTCCCAGGTTGCTCACTTTGTCTTTCATCCCGAACTGTAAAGAATTATCCTTTTATTTTAAAAAGTTATTTATTCTGTATCTGTAGATTATAAACCTCTGTACCCCAAGATAAATTCCCAAATGCTCTGAGTAAAAACACACTGAAGAGAAAGGTTTTCTTACAGGAATTTCATTTGGGAGCTACAATCAAATAGAAGTACTTCACAGGACAGATAAGGAATATCTAATGAGGTCTGCTCCAATTTTCATACGCTCACAGTGCTGGTAGCTACTTTGTCAATGCTGTAATCAGACTGTTTGCATAACAGATTAATAATAGCAACCACAACAGGTGAATACTACTTCCCCTGGAACCAAGCTTTTCTCTCCCTCTCCTCCCTAGGTACAAACTGTTGTTTGTAGCATTTGCCCTTTTCTTACCAGAAGGGAGTGGAGTTTTGTATCTATTGCAGGTTTCATTTTCCCCTGTTCCCTGCTGAGCCTTTTCGCTCATTTCCCGATGACTCAGGTACTCTTCTAATTTTCTCAACCCCTCCTGGGAAGACAGATCAACAAAACAGCCCAGAAATTCCCAGTATTCAACCCACGGGAACCCCAGCTCATGAGCTAACTCCCTGCAATAAATAAAATAAAACGAATCGTTTGTGAAGACATAAATAGCAGTTTGACAATAACTTTTCCGAACACGTTATCAGCTATTAACAGGAGTACAAACGCGCAACGAGGCAACACAGTTCTGCTACAATCAACAGTCTGCAACAGACACACACATCCTCGGCAAACACAGCATCATCTCATTTTTCTACTGTAACCGCTTCCAAATGTAACCATACTACTCTGACAGCACCATAAATATTGCTATTTTTATGCCAACTTTATGTAGACTTCAGATGGAGATGAATCCCCACTGATGCAAGCATCATCTGAATGATACTGCATTCAATAGCCTTTTCTATTTGGGACTAAAGGGAGCCGGGAGGAAGTGAGGGGTTATTGTAAAGGCAGAAACCTGACTAGCTTTCACCACAGTGTATTTTTTCCATACATTACTGATACAGGTATTTTACCAGCAAGAACGCACACCACAACACACAGCTTTTATAACGCAGCACATTTGCATCAGGGTCTTTTCACCCTGCTATCTTTTTAACAGTCCCTCCATTTTACTGATGTAGGCTAAGCCTAACTGTAGATCTTCTCATAAATTAGGCAAGTAAATGTTTGAGAAAAGCATTCTATAGATAACCTCAGTGATAGTTAAAATCTTTCTTTGAAAGCTAAGCAAGCCAGGTCTCGTTTTTAGCAATATTATTTACACAAGAATACAGTAAAAATCCAAGCAGCCTATACTTCACACAGTATTTCTGCCAGTCCCTTTTGTCCCAAGATATTGTTCAGTAACAAACTGTACTCTCAGCACAAGTTTTCTGCTTTTAATTGCTCTATTGCTAATTTTTCATACTGATATTCTCTTAGATACCTTCCAACTCTTTCAACACCTCTCTCCAGATCAGATTTCCTGACATTGTGGAAGAAGCCAGCTCTTTCTCGAGGCGGATTCTTCCAAAGCCTGCGAAATTCTTCAGCCTTTAAAAAACAGAAATCATTATAAATCCTACCCCCAGGACATGAAGCTACCTCAGTGCTGGGCAAATGCCTACCCTTAGCTTTAGAAGGCCTTTAGCTGTTTGCCCTCTACGTGTAAACAACTCAAGTTCTACCATAAGTATTGCTCAGCTCTGGTTATGAAGAGCCTCACACTGGACCTAAAGCGACTGGCTACTTTGATCTCATCGCTGCTTATTAAAGTAGTAAAGATCATAATGTACAACCATCTTAAAGTGAACTGCACAGATACCAAGTCTGCCTGGTTTTAATTTGTGTGCAGCACAAAACAGAATGCCTTATTTTGCCATGTCACTATAATGGAGTTTCTAGCATGCGAAGTTGATATTTTCATGTGGATATATCTAACTCCACAGACACATTATAATTATTAGGAGTATATTCTTGTTGCCTACTTTGAAGTTTGAATTTTAACTCCTGTAGTGAATAAAGTTTCAGATTTTTGTAAACTAACAAACTATGGCAAAAGTCATCAACAACCAAGATTTACGTTCATACACGAGAAGTATCTATCAGCAATCAAAACCTGTTTATACCCCAGGCGTATTTTTTCATAGCATAAAATGAATTTATGTTTCTGTCAGGTGAGCAGAAAATTGACCAACAGCATATTTAGAAGAAAAAGCATTAAGTATTTTGATAAAACTCCATCCTGAAGAACTCAAGCATCGAACCAAGTCCTCAGTTGTATTTATTTACCCTTTCTAAAGCTGTCATACTTCCAGCATGTTCACATTAAACAAATGACTCTAAGAAATACCTGTAATATACTTAACTGGTATCAAAGTATCCCTCCTGAAAATGAAAGGTTTTGCTTTCTTACTATACAAGTAATACTTCTCAAAAACTACCCCAACACCTACTACTTGATTCCTTATGAATAAAAAGGTTAAAAAATAGGCATTAGAGTCATAGGAAGTTCTCTCCTTACCTTAGAGGGACTCATGGGGCCTGCATAAGCTCTAATGGACAACACTGGATCTTTGGGGCTGCCCACGTATTTAGGTAAAGTTCTCTGGGGGCTGTCATCTATCTGATCAGGTGACCAAGGAGCACCAATTACAGGAGCTGAGGAATTGTCATCTGCTCTCAGGAGCGGTACATAGTATTGGCCTAAAATAAACAATACAAAGCTCTCTCAAGAAGTCTGTGGTACATCAGTCTGCTGCTTCTTCCTAGAGTATCAATACACCATATATGTAACCATCTGAACTGACTGCATTAGCAAAACTACTTGTAATTCAAGATCCCTGTCTCAACACTTATTGCCTGCTTACAGATTGTATTTTAGTACAGTCTCCCTTCTCTCTCAAATACAGCAACACCTGCATTGATGCATGTCTCCCTTCCCTAAGGATCTTCACTGAATTTCACACCCTCCTTTTGCAAATGCCAAAACCCACATGTGACTAAACAATGAAAAGTTCTGTCAATGAAATTACACGAGTTCCCAACACGACACAAATCTCTTGCTCTGCAAAGGCCTTTTGTTTGTTTTTAGATTAAACTTTCTGCTTCAGGCTTGCTGAATAAAAGAAGGGCCATGCCTACATCACAGAACTCTGAAGATAACCTTGTGATCCATACAGCAAGAGTGCTGCCCATGCAGTCTGAAAGACAAAAAGATTTCTGTTCCTTGTCAGTTTCTCTTTGGTGTTCACAGCACTGTACACTACCACCATTTATGAGCACGAATGCTACAGAAAGCAAAGAGCCAGAACACACGCTTGATACAGTATAAAACCCTGCATACAGACCTTTCAAGTACTCTCTTAATTTTTCTTTCAATTCCGCAGATTTATTCTTGCTTCTTTCACAAACTACCTGTTAATATAATTTTTGTTGTTAGTAAAGCAGAAGACATCAATCTCAAAATAACTGAAATGCATGTTCTTTTTGAACAGTCACATGGCCTCTACCCATCCAGGACTTCTAATCCATAATAGAACAAACCACTAAATACAGCCACATCCATAAAATGGATACTGCAAAGAAAAGGCAGTGAATCATAAAACCTCGAACTTCACCCAAGATACAACCAACATACACTACTTTTAATGTTCCAAAGATTTACACTCTAATCATGACACCAGTATCTTACAAGAAGCCTCTATCTACAGGAGTTAGCAAATGTCTGAACTTGAGTAATATTGATCAGGCATAACATCTTTGGCTTTTTGTGGACAAGGAGAGACTCACTTCCGCTGGAGTTTGATCGTATTTGTTCCTTGGATTTTTCACAATAGCTGGGTGTGAGGTAAGCACATTTACAACATCCAAATTCCCAAACTTGCAGGCAAAATGCAATGGAGTATCAAATCCCTGCAGTGAAAGGGGAAAATTCACATGCATCTGTAAACATGATAAAGTCAATCCTACATATTTTACTTTGAGACTAGATAAGCATATAAATGTCATGACGTTTATTATCAGGGCTCTTAATACATCTTTTCCCACCACACTATAGATTAATGATTATTAAGACACGTAAAACTCATTAATAGCTCATTTTGCTAGAAGTGTCCCCTTCTATTTTATCCCTTACACATCCTTAACACCTTCCAGTTGTTTCCGTAATAATAAGAAACTGTCAAACATTCCAACCGTACCACTTTATCTGGTGTATTAAGGTAAAGATCAACAATATACTGGATGCGATTCTTCAGCATGACATCATTATCATCTGGATACATAAGCCTCATAAATTCAGGATTTTCCAAAGTGTCCAGTAATAACTGGCAGATACCAGCTTGGTTCTCCTTGGCAGCAACGTGCATGACATTGTATCGACACCCTTCCTGAAAAATAAACCAACCAAACATCAGAATGAATTGAGATCTAAACAGCTTTCTTATGCCCATACATGTACCTGATTTAACAGTGGAAATACAAAGACTTCCCACAGTGTTACAGTTAGATTTTTGTTTCTTTATATTTTATTAGGAAAAGATTACAAACCAGTACATAAACATACAGAACTGCAGTAAATGACACGATAAACACTTACGCATCTTTATACCCACATTATTCTTACAATTAAAAACAATATTCTTGTACTTAGCTGTAGCATAAGAATACAGTAGTTCTTTAAATCTAGGCAAAAATGTGGCAAAGGAGGTATATCAAGAGATCAAATAATAAAAAGAGATAGGAAGTTCAGTGTGTAAGAAGAGCAGGAAAATGGGGGCCATGTATGTATATACCTAAAATTCAGTCTGCTGTAATCTATTACATACAAAAGTTCAACAGCTTCACAAAGCTGGTCTGATAGAAGTCATTTGTTAAAGTAAGACTGTCAGTGTTTGCTAAATGGCACCTTGTACATAGATTTTAGATGCCGAGCATGGTTTGAAATCTGATGGCGGTGCAAAGTAAGCAGTGCTGTACAAACACCTGGTTACAGCCTATGAACCACCTGCTCCTTAAAATCATTCTATTTCAAAAAGACTGGAATTGTTCAGAGAAGATCAATACTACATGAAGACAAGACTGTTCTTTCTCTATTGAATAAAACTGTTCTTCCCCTGAGGAACTGCACACTCACTTACTTTACTGCAGCTCTTCTGGAGCAAAGCGAACTCCCAGTTGTGATGGGGGACATACACAAGACAGACAACTGCCATGTTTCTCTCAGCTTCCAGCTATTATCAACAAGCACCAAGAAACTTTGCATAAGGCATCTTTAAGGAAGAATAGGAAACAATATTCCTTCCAGTTCTGCTTGTCAGCCTCAGGGCTAAATCACTGAACCACAACCTGCATTTTTTGACTTTAGTTTTTTACCTGTACAACTGTAGGATTGTCTCCTGACCCAATCAGGTAGCGAGGGTTACTCCAAATAAGATCTGAAAATGTTGCTGCATCTCCTTTCTCAACAGCTGTCCGAAGTTTAGCAGTAAGATCTTGAGTACGGGGACTTTTGTAGCTGTTGGCTCTCTCCTTATTAACAGTTTCAGTCTCAGGAGAGCATAAGCCATCTATCAAAACACAAGTAATATGTTTCTAGATACCTTCTTTTCAGTGATGGCTATTTTCATAACCGGGCCACAAAACCAAGGTTTTGATCCACAATATGTATTAACTTTGCATCCTTAATGGACAGGAGTTTAATGTACAGGAGTAAAAAAACTGAGGTCAATGACAAGACACTCAAAAATACTAGTAGTTAGTAATAGGGAGGGAGGCAGAACATGACAATCATCCTGTAAAACTGTCTCAGATTTTAACAAGGACTCATAAATGTCACCAATTACAATTCCCAATCAAAATTCAACAAGAAATAAGAATGTTTTGAATGGCAAAAATTATTTTTGCAGTGCTGCAGCTACGGAGTGCTTTCAATCTCACTACCAGGTACACTGGGAAGTAAGATCACCGTTTTATTTCTGGACTTACAAAGTTACTCAAAAATAAAGTAGTTTTAATGTACTGAGCACTTTTATTAGCGTCTCACTAAACCTGAAAATCCTGATGTCCATGAGTAAAATCAAAACCTACCAAATATAACCACAGACTATTAAGCAACGTATCTATACAGGCCATTACTGACATGTCAGCTTTAGAAGAGGAGCAAGATTTTTTAGTGTAAAATCCATGCAAACCAAAACAATGACAACTGCTTTTAAAAGTAACCAGTTTACTTCATCATAACAAGCCATAGAAACCACACAGCTTTTAAAGCTTTTTAAACCTTATGCTTTTAAACTCGAAAAGCAGTCTTTCCATTGATTCCTGGGCTTTGCTCTACTTCCATGGCAGTCCTTCAGAAAAGGAATGACAAGCTTCCAACATACTCTGCTGCTTTTTTTATTTCTGCACATAAACTTTGGTGCTCCGCTCTTGGAAAGCATCAGGTAACTTTAAGGATGACTTCTCCAGTGACAGCATCACTTTATACAGAACTAAAACCAGATTCTGATTTAAAAACTAAAATATGCTTTTTATTGCTTGTTTCTAACTTATTTCACTGAAAAAAAAAAACAACCCCAAAACATGAAAACAGGGGTTGTCAGACAGTAACTTTATTTAATGAGCAAGCTCTGGACTTGTGAGCTAACATTTGTACAGCTCATCTTAAATACCACCACTCTAAAGGGATTTCAATTTATTAAGATGCATCACCCTTTGAATTTTCTTCTATTATTAGTATATTGGGTACTAAGTTGTTCCTTCTTCTCTTAAAAAAAAAACAGACTCTGTATTGCATCTACTGTTCACAGACAAACAGCCTCACTTACCTCTGTTAAATGATCCCATTTTCACTGGAGACAGACATGAAGAGGACTTGCTTGGAGATGGGAAATAATCACAGATTCCCTTAGCAAATTTCTCAGCATCCTCTCTGTTTGAAAAAGCTTTAAAACGGGAACCCTTAATCATCTTAACAGCTTGAAGAGCTTCCTTTTTATCTTCATAAACATGTATTCTCTCTGCAATAAAGTACAATCAAAGTTATTTCAATAATCTCAGATTTGTTCCTAGAAACAGATTTCAACATTCTCAGACTACCCTCCCAGCTTCGGTCTCGAATTGTTATCTCCAGCAAATGTGGCATAAGAATCAAAAGTCCTTTTAATTTTTGTCTCTTGGAAACCAAGTACAAGAATTTCGCACACTCCAGCTAAGACCAGGTAACACATGGACAGTGTTTGGCTGTTCGTATCAGTCCGTATCTGACCATTTTTTTAAAACAGATGGGCTAGCTTCAACAAGCAAGTATCCCACATCCACACTGAAAAGCAAACTCACAGCTTATTCACCCTGCACTGCCTTCCATGTTCTCTTGTTCAGAAAAATCATCTATGTAAGTGACCCACTGTCACAACTTTAAGACCTCTAGACAGAAGCTTAGGTATTAAGCAAATCCTTCCTCCTCTCCTTTTGCATTAACATTAATTTGTACAAATTAAGAATTCTGAATATACTGTTTATGAGAAAGAATACTATTGTCTCAGAGTAAACAATCCTTTATGCTCTACTGTAACCCTGCCACTATGTAATGTAGCAATTCCTTATTGCAGTATTTATCAATAAAACGTGAAGAAAGACTGATGTTTCTAGATGCCATTTGGCATTAACATAGAAAGGAATATATGAAATCTGTTAGATCATTTAAGCTTCAACTGATGACACTATAAATATGGGTTTGTTTATTTGCAGGATTACTTTTTATTCTTGAGAGGAATTAAAGGCATAGAATAGGTATGAAAGCAGCAGTAGGAAATTACTTTCTTCATCTGAGCTAGAGGACTGTCATGTGTACCAACCATTACAGCAGAACGCCTGGGATGTCTTATAACTGTTCCTGTGCCTCAGAAGATCCAATAAATATTACTTACAGAAACAAAAAATAACTCAAGTAATGCTTAAAGCATTAATACAGTGGTGTTTATATCATTCATAATATAGTAAAAGATTTAGACATCATTGTAAAATTGTTATCATTGGAAATAAAATAAATTAATATTTACCATTCCTTGCCAATATGTCATCATAAACAGGACAAACACCGTAGAACAGCGGAGGATCTCTGGATGGTGTCTGAGTACTAATTTGTGAATCAACACATCCTGCTCCACAGGCTGGAGCTGAACCATTCACATGCATCACATCTTCTTCTGGAGGGTTCAGACCTACACAGTACCCGAAGTCCATCTCTTCAGGAACACTTCCATGGCCATTGTGACTCACTGCTGTGGTTTTCAAAGCCTTCTGTGCTTCTGCCTGGCTGCTGTCAGATGGGACATTTCCAGCAGCCTCTCCTGACACAGCAGATCCTTTTTCCCCCTGAGCTCCTTGCTGCTCCAACAATGCCTGAGCCAATTTCTTTTCAAAAATAAACCTGGTGGTTGAGGTAATGGGCCCACATTTCAGTCCTGCTCTTATTATTTCTTGTCTAAGCTCATCAGCACTGAGCTGCTTCAATCGGGCTAATATTGCATCCATTGTTACTTCACCTATAAGAAAAGTGAAAGAGAAAGGAGATGAACTATAAAGGACATCACAACTGGTTTTCCTGCTATTTAAATGCTGTATCAAAGCCAAGGATAAAAGTGCCTCATAACAATTTATCTGATCTGAAGAGATTATTGCATTTGCAGGGAAGACAAAATATTTTCCATCTCAACGCATTAAAACCATTTTTAAGCTATTGGACTTACCCCAAGAGTTTACTTCCCTCTCTCACAACCACTTGAAAGAGCATTTACAGCATACATTTTATTCTTGTTTGTTCTTTTCAAATTTCTTTTGGAGTGAAAATTCAAGGCAGAATATTTATACGATTTATGACAGACTGGGAAACATTTGATTCCTGCCAAGGGAGACACAATATCTGTGTGTCATGGAATACAAGAACAGGGTAAGTAGGGAGCCCCAGTAAGAGATTCTGGTTAGGCAGTACCCACAGCTAAAAGCACAACTCCATTTCTATTATTTCCATAAGAATTTCTAGCTGACAAAAGTATACAGCATAAGTTATGATGCAGCAACCTCTGCATGCTCTCTACCTCTGGCCATGATGCAAGGCTGGAACTATTTGCACAAGATGTTGTTTCCCAGCCCTGGTTTTGAGAAGAAAACCAAGAAACGAGAAGTGCTGACCTTTTCTGATTTCCCTCTCCAACAAAGAGCAAGAGCTGGAAGAATTTGCCCACTTCCAAAGGAAAATCTTCTATCTGATATGATACTACAAATCCCCCAGCTCACTTGCCTCAATATAATGTACATGCAGCTTCTGCATGGTCAGCAAGAAGATACTAAAACCAACATGATGCCATTACAAATTTCTTGCTATGAAAAACACAACTGAAAAACACAGGGTTTGGGCACCTCGGGAACACAGGAAGCTTTCAGGTTGTTTCATCAGATACTGCATCTGCTATCTCCACAAAGGCTTTTTTTTTGGCTGTACACTAGTTAGGAAGGACAGCTTCCAGGCAGAAATGATTAGGCTGCTGTATTCCTTCAGCTTACTTTCACTCCACCCTTAAAATGGCCCTTCCTTTGCTGCCTAGCCATTTCATGGGTTGTACTGGTTTGGAGATGTGAATGACATTTTTAGTACTTTATTTTTAATTCCAGGTTTCATCCTCAGTTTATGAAATTTAAGACTACTGGAACACATATCTGCAGCTTTTCCACTTGACTTATTTCTATTTTTAAGTCATGCTATATTTGGAGTAATACAACTCCTAATCTTACTCCACTAGAGACAAAGCGATCTCCCAGGTATGAAGTCAGTATCACCTGTAATTTTAAGCTAAATCTCCTCAAAAGAGCATTTATGGATGCATATGGCAATATGAGAAATGCTCACAACTTGGGAGCTCTTTGGCTCTATGAACAGGGTGCACAAGCAGTCCTTAACATGAACCAGAACATCCACTCCAAGGGGCAGCAACGTTTTGTCTGGGAAAATAATGTGAGGCTTGAACGGTGGTGAACCCTAAAACAGCAGGGATGCAGCGCCCGAAATACTGGCTCCTACCAAGTTAATTATTAGTTCTGTCAAAGCGTACAAACTCAGAAGTAATTCCAAAATTGCACCTTGATCACAGACTTGCAGTACAAACGCCTTTATTTTTTCATGTGCATTGCCAAAAGGAGCATCACAAAAGAAACCAATAATGACAGCCATGGCAATTTTGCTTTGCAAATTACCCAAGGATTAAGCTAGTAAAACCCCACACTTTTCAGGTATTAAAAAAACCAAACCAAACCAAACCCAAAGGCACAGAGCAGTTTTTGTAACTTTCAGTCAATACTCAATATAGTCAAGTAAAATCTTCACTGGAATCTGACTGCAAAACTAATACAATGAAATACTACAGAAAATATGTTCATGCCAACCTTCAGGCAGGTTTTCAAATATCATTACAACTTGACTGTGCTGTGAGCTTGAGTGTTGTTTTCCTGGAGGAACATCTCCTTTGGGAGTTCTCTTTTTTTTCTGGATGTCCAATTTTAAAACCTTGTGGTCAGAGAACATTCCTCAGTCACTGAACACTTCACAAATATTAACTGGGACCTCACTGAAACCATGGGAAATTAAAGTATTTCAGCTCTAAAATACCGAACAACTGTGGAAGAGCCACAGCTGCTGCTGAGATACCTCCCCAAAGTATTCTAGTTCCCTTATGATTCCTGAGCCTCCAAGCAACCTCACTGTTAGAATCATCTTACTTGCCCACTGTAAATACAGATATGAAAGATCTTCTCACTTATTTTTTGTTCTTAATCCTCTATTTACTTTTCTTTTAAATAAATGTGGTACCATTATGCTTTAATCAAGAGATGAAATGTAACCCTAAGGCCAACTGCTATGCTAAGGGTTTTGAGACTGTGTAACTGGAAAAAGACAGTAAAGATGAAAACTCAAGAGGCCAGAAAAATTACTGGAGAAACAACTCAAACACTTAAAAGAGAGTCTGCATAACATAATGCCTCCTACTTTTAAGGCTCAGAACCAGCACAATCAACCTGTAGAAAAGCAGACCCTCACATATGTGTAATTCATGAACACGGGGTACACAGGCACAGGCATAATCTTTCTTCTTGGCTTATGGTTAAGTAAATGTCAGGAAGGAATGATTTCTCTGGTGTCTTATGTTTTGACAGAACTTAGCACCTACAGTTTTCTTCCTCATCCATATAAGAAAGTATTCTAGGTATGAAAAAGCATTTATTTCATGCACCCATTACAACTCAGGCACAACTAAATCAACAAGGGAAATGACAAAGCAGACCAACAGTGAAGAAATCAATCTTTGGTTTAAGATCTCCTGTCAGCACAAAGAGTTCTCTTCAATAAGCTTTTAACCACATCACCTATTCTGATCTGTCCAAAACAAACAGCGTGACTTGCAACCTCAGGAATACGCAACTGCCCAAGATAATTCTTCAGTCATTGCTTTTATCATTTGCAAGTGCAAAAGGTGATTATTTAAACCTTAGAATGCATTTCACATAACTTTAAATGATCCAGAGTACAGCCAGCACTGATGCAGCTGCCTTTTCAAGTTCAGCACACAAGTTACCTTTAGTAGCTTTACAGCTATTAATAACTACTGCAACAACAACCGTATGTTCGAACCTTCTTCCAAACCAAAAAAATCTGGAAGAATGAGTAAGAAATGTATTCCCCTTGTCTGACTCCCATCAGGTATGAAACAGCAGAATGCTTCCCCAGAAAAATTTCCCCAAGTGAGGATGAATGACTGACGTTTAAGGTGGCAATATTGTTTTATTCCACCACTTATTAAATCCTGCAGCAAACGAGCAATGTAAGAAAAGAAGGTGGCTTTTTCGAGAGAGGAATTACAGGAGACACAGAACCTCTCCCTGGCTGTATTTATACTGCTAAGGATCTGCACACGGCAGAATAATTGTGATTGTGCAGTCGGGTACTTGTCTATGCTGCCTGTTGCTAAATTAACCAACAGTTAAGAGCTACGTGGCAGAAGAGCTGCAAAACAAACTTGGAATAAACTACGGGAAAGCCACAACCAGAAGGACAAGCAGCAGACGGGGCGGTCCGGACGACCTCTCAGGAGCGAAAAACGAACACCTATTTCTATCCCCAGCAAGGGACGGCAAGCTCGGCGCGGGAGAGGGCTTGGGAGCACGGCGCAAGAGCAGGAACCGGGAGCAGGGCGGTGCGGGCAGCGACCCCGTCGCCGTGAGGCGGCCGGAGACGCGGACGGGATCGGAGCGTGACAGAGGGAGCGGGCAGCGGGGAAGCGCCTGCAGTCGGGGGCCCTGAGCTCCGCCCGCGGGAAAGGCCCGCGGAGGCCGAGCTGCCGCAGGCCTGCCCGGGCGGTGCCCGCGGCCCCGCCGGCTCCCCGCAGAGCGAGAGGCAGCGCCACCCCCCGCCGCGCTCCTCGAGTCTCTCACCTGGGCGGCTCCCACTGCAGTGCCGGCTCCGCGCAGAGAGCGGCGCCGCGGAGGAGAGGGGTACCGCGGAGGAGATGGCCGCCGCCGGCGCCTTGCGGCCGCCCGGCCTCCTCTCCAGCAGCCGCAGCAGCCAGCCCACGGCACCGATGACCGCGCAAGCGGCCAAGAACTCCCAGCACGGCCAGCGGCCCCAGCCGGTTCCCCACAGGGAGCCCCAGCCCGCGGCGGCCCCGACCCACCGCTCCATGCCCCGGCCCGCGCCCCGCCGCACGCAGACACCGCCTGCAGCCCGTCGGGGACGGTACCTCAGCGGCCTCCCGGCTTCCGCCTCTCCGCGCCGCGCCCCGCCCCGCCAGACGCGGGCCTGCCCTGCCCGCCGCCTGACAGACAGCGCTCCGGCTGCCCGCCGTGCCGCGGGGCCTGACGGGAAGGCGGCGCCTCTGCCGGAGCCGCGGCCTGCGCACAGCGCAGAGTGCCGCCCGCCGCGGAGGAGCGGGCCTTGCTCTGGGGGAAGGGGGCGGCCCACGACCCCGCCGTCGCACCGGCTGCCACGGGCCCTGCGGCTTAGGGCGGCACTGCAGCTCTCGGCTGGGGAGGCCGCCGCCTCACGACTTACGGTTAAAACGGCCGCGTTTTCTTCTCGGCGGTCGGTCCCGGATGTCAGGTGGCGGGGGCCGTAAGGGGCGGGGGAAGCAGCTGTGGGGCTGGTGCTCTACGGCGGCGAGGGCAGCGAAGGAGAAGCCCCAGGAGCGTGCGGGCACCGAACCGTTGGTTGTTCAGCAGCGCGCAGGATGGAGCCGCGCAGCGCGGGGGGCGGTTCTCAAAGATCTAGGACTACACTTGGTCATCATTCCCTCTGCTAGGGACGCAGCTTGCTGCCCCCAGGAGCCTTGGTGTGAGGGGACACACAACCAAGTTGAAAATCCCGTTGAAAAAGGAAAGCTGTGTCTAACCGTTAGCCTCACCGTGCTGCAGTATGCTTGGAGCATGGGGCAGAGGTGGAAAACTATGAAGAAGGAAAGGACAGAAGGAAAACAAGTCCCTCCAAAGACCTAACTAGTCAGCCTGTTAGTGATATTATACCTACCTTATGGGTACAGCTACAGTAAGATGTAGCCCAGGTACTGGTTTAAATGGCAAGACAAAATGGCAGGCCTTCAAGAAGCTGACTACATCCATTTAACTCATGCTAATAGTATAAACAAGGTACAGTCATGTCTCTCTTCATCACTGCAGTTGGCTAGTAGACTCGATTTCTTCATCATTTCATTGTGTACATTCACGTGCATGTTGGCAAATGCAGGCCAAGAGAGATCCACTCATTGTATCTTTCCTGCCATGTTCAGCTGAGGAAAAAGTAAATGTAATGGAAATACAAGCACAATCGATTTTAGGTGTGTGAAAAATCAATCTGCAATAACATAACCACACCTTTAAGGAAAAACCTCCACCTTATTTTGAAAGGCTACACACCATGTTCAGAAACCTGAACATAAAAAACTACTGACAAACCCGAAAAGATGACATCACTTTCTCTTTAAAAGTAGAAACAACATGGAGCCCTTTACCAAAAATAGTTTATTGCACAAAACTTTTAAAGGAATTCCTATGCACATTATTTTTATAATCAACATGCTGTGTATGATCATAAATATTAATTGTACATAGTGTAACTCCTCCATCCCCTGGGTTACCCAGTCAAGAACATGAAATTATTAACTTCTATCTTTACAAATACAGCCTAAGCAGACATTACTTAATGTCATGTATAAAACATAACGGTATTTCATTTACAATATCCAGAATATCTTTCCCTCCCCTAGAAATCTGTGCATCTGTATTGGAAATTAGGCTGCCCTACTGCCCAAGACTGAAGTGTTACACAATAGTATAGGAGACAAGAGTGATCAAATGACAGCTGATGAACAGTAGTAATTACTCTGGACTAGTAACTGCTTTCACATGAAAATAATTAAAGGCTCTGGTCACAGCAAGTCACATGCAACTATCCACACTTCCCTGGCAAAGCTAATAAAACATACATCATGAGCTTTTGCATCACCTGTAGTGAATGTGTCATCTTTAAGCTAAATTTATACTGGTAATAGTATCTGTCCCCAGTGCACCTTTCAAGTTGTCATAGCTAACAGTAAAGCATCCATGCCACTGCAGTTCACTCCCCTATAGAGGAATACATAATCCATGAAAATGCAAGCGCCAGAACTTCCATTCTAGATGTTACTCTACTCCTTACAAATGTGAGATTCTCATAGATTTCATTTAGGGTATTGCCTGAATAAACAGTATGGGATCAGATCCACCCATTGCATGAGTAGGTAAGGGGCTCAACAGATCCCAGTACAGTGCACAAGTATTTCCAAGAAATCTGGAAGACAACAGAATGGAGCATTCAGCAACACCAGAGACTCTTAACATGTTTTTTCCCATTGTACAGTTTGCTGGTCGTTTTTGGTCATGTTTTGGGTTTGTTTGGTTTGTGTTTTTTTTAACATGCAAAATGATTCAAGAGTCCCCCCAAACCCCACAGTATCTGAAGAATTAATGCTGCAGCATTTACCTACTTTCATCACTTGGGAAACACTCTCACACTGCTCTGAGATTTCTCCTTCACCAAGACTTAGTTTAGTAGGTAGCAATCACTGAAGAAACAGAAAATACATTCTATTGCAGTGCTTGAAAAAGGAAAAGAAGGGGGTGTTTAAGAGAGTATTGTTCAGATTTTCCTCTGATCTGGCAGTGCTGTGACAGGCAGAGGGGAGGCAGTTTTCGTTGCTGCAATTAGTTTGAGCTTACTGCCTAGACAGCAGAGACCTGAAGCTCTGTAGCATAAGCAGGCTCAGCCTCAGAGTGAGGCTTTTTAATAAAACAACAACTTCCCATGATAATTAAAAAACAGTTTATGAGCTTCAAATAAAAGGCCTTGCTTTTATCACGTGCTGTGTGCTCCTTCTGGGTTTCCCCGTGACTTCTGTAACTTATTTGACTTAGTACCTCACTACATTTAGACTCAAGTCTCACCATCTGTCCTTCACTTAAGTAAATAGCATGGTGCTTCTGTTTGTAGAAAAAACACAAGGTGAATATAAACCAAAAATACCTCATGTCCAAGTATTTCAGAGAGAGACAGGTGGGTCAATGTGGAAATGCAACCTGAGCACTTCACAACTGCTCCCTAATCTTCAATAGGAAAAGCACACAGCACCTAAGGCTGTTTTGATTGTGTAAGCTCAGATGTCTTTAAGGAGCTAGTGAGAAAATGGAGCACTGCACTAAAAACAGAATGCAGTATGATTATTTATACAGAAAGGAGAGTAGAGTAGACATTCTGAAGAACTAAGAAGGTTTCTAACAATTCTGGCTTCTCTGATACCAGATAAAAACTTTGTCCATACAAGTGTTACCAAACTTCAGAGATTAAAACATAATTGATTCTTAACTGTAGGCAGTGGATTTACTAAGATGAACAGCAACATTAATGCTGAACATGTGTTCAGTTTATTTAAAATCCTGAACATTTGAAAACTTTTTTTATGCTGAATATATTATTCATTACATACTTTTAACTTTGTTTTGTAACAATACTGCGCTGGGGTTTTTTCTTCTTGAAACTTAATATACAGGCGACTTCAAGAACATGACAGCAGTGAGATAATTAGTACCATATACTCTGCAAAACAGACTGCAAAAGTAGCAGACATTAACATATATCTAAGCTAGTCTGTAAAACTTTTGACTTTTCTTTGAACTGTTTGGTAATTCTGTCTGACAGGCACTTAATGCCATGCCAATGCATTTCTTCCTTCACCAAATGCAAAACCTCGACTTCTAGCATCACTTGACTTTGATCCCAATAAAACGTAGTTTAAATAGCTGAGGGGGATGAAGTCAGTCCATACAGACACTTTGAGTGCAAAGCCTTCAACTGGACTGGAGCTTGAATTTGTAGTTACAAGAAATCAGACTTATGGGTCTGATTAAATATGGGTGGGATTGGGGTCTTTCTTTGCTTATTTTTTGCCTTACTGCTAAGCAAACTACAATCGTTCCCCCCCCAGCAACCAAACCCATCCAAAAGCAGCAACAATCTCTGGAAAAATACACAAACCAGAATTCCCTCTACCAGCCCCTTAATCTACTTGCATACTTAGTATATTGTTGGTTGTTTTTTTTTTTAACCAAACTATACTGGATAGAACTGATGGAATTTCTGAAAGAAAGTCCCACTCCACACAGAATCTTTGAAGGAGAGGGCAGGCTCATTGCTGCACTAGGAGTCACATGGAGCAACGGGACCAAAGGCGAAGGAATCTAAAGTGGGCTGCTTTCATAATAATCTAGTCAAGGTGCTCTGCAGAGGGGCTACCACAGTACCACTGTTTCCATTCATGATGGTCACTTTGTAATAGAGGGTGCAGTAAGTAGGGAAAGTGTGTGGGAGAAGATAAAGCTAATAAAAGTAATAATTTTATAGGCATTATAATTTTGTCTTTTAAAGTAAAAATAATTACATTTCTAAAAGCTCTGGCTTTAGGGGCTAATTTCCCTAAGCCACTTGTACAGTATGTCAGAAACCAGCAAACTTAAACGTAACATTAAATCAATGACAGGTAACAAAAACCCCTCATGTCAGCCTTATCTTACAGTATATAAGCATATTAGAACAGATATTCAGAGTCAAAAAATTATGATTTCTTATATATATATATATTACACACATACCTTGTTTCAAGGGTGTCTACTTCAAAAGTTGAACTAAAAAGGTGCAAGAAGTGTTTGTGCAGTGAAGCAAAGCTCCCTACTGGCCTGCGACTGTAAGAGAAAAAACTGATACTTCAGAAAACAGGCAGATCTGTCAAAGGTACATTCTGCTCTGCATTGCTTGTCATTACAGTCTTCTTTTCTTTTGCTGTATGTCAGAGGTCATCTTTGTAAGTAGAAATGACTTCAAATGATTTTTTTCTTTAAATAAAAGATATCTATAACCCAAGCTTCAAAAATAAGACATTATAGGAGGGAGGAGAGAGGAAGTTCTCAACCACTAGTAATGGCTGAACATGAGCAGAACTTATTTTTCCCTATGATTTGGATACAACCCAAGATGGGGGGGAGAAAAACCACACCCCACATTTAAGCAAAACAAACAACAAACCCCAGATACCACATTATTAACAGTCATTCCTTAACAAACTCACTCAGATTGAACAAATAGAGTTGGAACCAGATGCTCCTCCTGACCTCATTTTAAACCTTCATCTGAATCTCTCAACACCAAAATGAG